TTTGTTTTCCTTCTTGGGGACTCTAAACACACGTGTGTTAGATCTTCTCAGCTTGTTCTCTTGAATATTTGGTGAGTTCTTTTTTCATTACTTTGCAGTTTTCACATCTTCTGTTTATTTAAAGACATCATCCATTGTGTTCATGCATTCTTGTGTTGCTTCTAGTTGACTCTTCATTTCCAAGATGAATTTCTCTTTCATTCCTCCAAAACAACAAGTTTTGCTTCTCCTAAGTCACGTCCTAATCACCTAATTTGTGGATTTTCATGATTCTAACTTGTTTTTTATCCATTGCTTTTATAACCTTGTTTCAGTTCATTTAAAAATGTTACTAGGGGGGGCTGAGGCTATAGTTCAGTGGTGGAGCACTTTTCTAACCATGAGCAAAGCCCTGGGTTCAATCCCCAGCATTTCAAAAAACAAATAAAATAAACACGTTGCATTACAATTTGCATGTCTTCTTGATATGTTTTCATTCTCTATAAGGATGTTTTTCTATTCCTTATTCTCTCTGTTTTAATTTCTTATAGTAACTCTACATAGAAATTGACTGTCTTTTTTTTATGTTGCTCATTATTAAGAGAAACAAATCTTCCTGTTTTTTTGGGGGGGCAGAGCTGTGATCCAGGACAGCATTACTATTGCACATCCTCAAGATCATATATCCTTGCTGCTCTGTCCCTTTCCTCTTTTTTTTTTTTAATCTGGACTTTCTTACTCTCTTATCCCAGTGTTCCTACTTTGTTCAATTTAGATGCAGTTGCCAGTCACTCCTCCCATGAGCGAAGTGTTGTAGTTTTCAGTATTCATGGGACTTGGCTACTGCTATAGAGAGTGACAACTGCACCCGCCCCATCAAACCTCCTGGAGTTATGGTCTTGTTCACAAGTTGTGGGTTTGTCCCAGTCTGTTCATTTTGGAGTCAGTGTGGATATCTTGTCACCTTATATTACTGTATATATGGGTTTTTAAATTTTTAATACTCATTGTTCAGTTATTATAGGAAGCTTCAGAAACTTTGCCATTATCATCTTTCCAGAATTCCTCTAGTTCTTGGGGAAAAAAAAAGATTCTTAATTTTGTAATTGACTAAGGTATAAGATGGACACAGATGGCATCAGAGAAGTTGAGCTTTAGGACTATGTTTTTGAAGTTCCCTGAAATTTTGTGAGAAAGCCAATTGTTTTACATGCGCACAACTTCCTTTGAACCAAGTATGTGGTTAGAGCTCAATGGTAATACGGTAGAGAGACTTTGCGATCAGACAGATCTGGATTCAAATCCTACTTCTGCCATTTACTGCATATTAATGAACTCCTCTAAGGTTTTCCTCATCTATAATATGGATAATTAGGATTTGAAATGTAATTAGGATTACCCTTTCTGGATAATTAGGATTAAATTGTGTTGGATATTTGGAGATTAATAAATCTGTGTTTATAATTTATGATTTGATTACATCCTAATGCATAGAAACATGATAAGTGCAGACTGTGGTTGAAAATATAATTTCTTTTGTTTTACATGAGAAGCTTTATTTGTAGAATTCTAGAAAAAATAGCAAATAAGTATTTTTCAAATAATTGTGTGAATACATCAGAATTTGGAAGTATTGTATTAGAAATTGTATTTAAATTTGGCATTGAGCACTAGGCCACCAGTATTGCTCACATCTGTTCACACAGCAATCAGGAGAGGCAGTATGTCGCAGGGAAGGTTGCTTTGCTCTTACATTTGCATATCACCTGGCGTGGGTCCTACCTTCACTACTTACTAGCAGCTTAGTTTGGCTTGTTATGCTTGCAGTGAAAGCTTCCTGTCATAGTGGTGAGTTTGCAATCAAATTTGACAAATGTTAATTGAGCATGTACTGACGACTAGAAGCTGGCATAGTCACTAGGCATACAATGATGGACAAGACAAAGAGTCCCGGCCCTCCTAGAACTTACAGTTCAAGGTCAAAGAAAAATGATTAAGCCATTAAGTGATCATTTCTATAAAACAGAAAAATCGGCATTATAGGAGGATCTGCTTGACTCAGATTTGAAGTTTAGGAGAGAGTCCCAGGAAGAATGATTTCTCAGTTGATAGCTGAAGATGTGTAGGAATTCCCAAACCAAGAAGGGAGTCAAAACAACATGTGCAAAGGTGTGGAGACATGTGCAAGCAGCAGGTTTAAGGGCATGAAACCTGGAGGACTTAATGCATAAAGCAGTGTTCCCAACGCTGGCTCAAGTTCAGACTCACCGAGAGAGCTTTTACAAAGACTCATTTTTATAGGCCCCACCCAGACTTAATGAATCACATTCTCAGGGAATGAGTCCCAAGGCTGTGATTATAAGTCATGTGGGGAGCCACTGGGTTAGGGCGTGTGGGGCTATTAGGGGCCATCAAGGCAGGAAAGCTAAGCTGGGGCACAGCATGAAGGGCATGTAAACTGTATGTCAGGTTTGAATTTTGTCCTAAGGGCTGGGGAGACTGTGGGAGAATTTGGGGTCATGAGGATGAGACAATCAATTATTGGTTCATAAAAAATCTCTAGTTGAGTAAGACACAGTTCCTGCAATCTAGTTTACAAAGTTCGACATCTGTGAAACCTCAATGAAAAAAATCTAAAATGGAAATATTGATACCTACTTGGCAAGGTAATGGTGAGGCTTAACTGGGGTAATTTATGTGAAATACTTTCAAATGCCTTTACGCATGTATGACATACATTTGAGATTCAAAAGATGCTAATTTCTATTATGTAAGAAAGTGATGGGGCCAAATAATTGGTGGACATTAGAGACCCTCACTTAAGCAGTTTCTCAGTGGATGTTGGGATTTGTGTTCAAACATCTGTTTCCAAGGTCCTCTGACATTCTTTTCCTTTGCCCATACCTGGGACCCAGGACAGAGCCCATTCTGATCACACGTGCTCATTCTTTTACAGTCATTGTTTTAGAGTTACAACTTTTATGCCAGTGAATTCCAAATCCGTATTTCCAGTCTACTTTTCTTTTCTGAGCTCCAAACCCATATTGCCCTCTTACTCCTGGACATGTCCATTTAAATGTCTGTGATCACTTTATTCAAATTAGGTCTTGTCTTCCCAAATTTCACCCTTCTCCACCCCGCAAAACAAAACTGTTTTTCCAACATTGGCACCACTGGGTCAACCCAGAAACATGGGAATCATCAATCACTTTGATCTTCTCCCATGAGGCTTCCCCAATCCACACCTTTCTCTGCAGACTTTGATCATCCCCTTTCTCCACTCTAACACCAATCTGTTGTCTGGACTCGAGAAATAGCCTATGACTTCCTAACCTCATTCTTTGTCCCAACCCCAACTCTGCATCCATAATCCTGAGAGATTTCCTAGGGTACAAGAGTAGTACCGCCCATACTTAAGCCTCTTCTGTGACTTTCAAATGCCTTTAAAGGAACTCCAAACTCCACCAAGTCTTTATCAGCTCCTTCAAGATATCACCTCTTCATTCTCATTTTCTCCCAAGCTCCTTTTCTTATTTTAGGCTATAACCATTCTGAACTGGGGTGTGTGTGGGGGGACCACCTTCTTTCTCATGAATCTATGTCACATGAAGAGTCATCCATCCATAACCCCCTTCATATGGATAGCTCCCTGTGCCCCTTAGGCTTTAACTAACAGAGATCCTCTTGGGGAGGCAATCCTTGAATTTTTACAAAAGCTGAAATCCCCTTGTGTGTATTTGTAATACCTGCTCCCCCCAAGTGCTACTCATTATACGTGTGATTTCTCAGTATCAATCTTCCCCACCCATTGTACCCAATAGGATGGCGAGAGAAAGAGAGAGAGAGAGAGAGAGAGAGAGAGAGAGTATATATATAATCTCTCCACGTTACTGATGAATTCTTGCTAAATTTTATTTGTAACCCCCACACCGATGTTCAGGGTGTTTTCACAGTCATTCTCTGACCTGCACAGAAGTTGGAAACTTGGTGTCCTCTGACGTGCATGTTCCAGCAGGAATAAGATAATGTTTTCCTTCTTGTTTCAGCCCTTATACTGTCAACAAGTATCCATCTCTGGTCCCTGAGCCACATTTTTCATACTTTTGTATATATTGTTAGTTATTTCACGGCTTAAAAATGGTCTAGTACTGCAGTGCTACTGTTGTGCTACTAGTACTGTTGTTGTTTTTAATCCCGGAATTGAACCCAGGGCTTCCAACCTGCTGGGCAAGCACCTCACCACTGGACTCCATCCCTAGGCTCTAACTAGGGCTTTTAAAAAAGTTTTAGCTATATCACAGTGGAGTGTACTTTGACATACTGACGTGGAGTCTCGCTTGTTCTAATTAGGATCCCATTTTTTGCGGTTGTACATTTTGTGGACTTTCACTGGTTGTGACGTCTTTCGTGTGCCTTATGGAGAAAATTTGTTGGTTGGATGAGCTTCCTTGCATGAGTTACAGCACTGTTGGCCGTGAGTTCAAGGCTCACGATTTAAGAATCTATATGAAATGAGGTGTTTTCAAACAGAACCATGTAAACAAGATTATATATTCACAAAATGATGAAAATATTGTGTCCAGAGTCTTGCAAGAACCCAACCCTGTGTCACCTCTAACAGCAGTGGTTCACTGTTCACTGTTGGCTCATAGTGTCTTCATAGAACAAAACAACTGTATTTTATTAATTTCTGTGTCCTTAGTAGCTCACACAGTGACTTCCACAAAATGGGTCTTCAAACTGAATTTTGTGTGTGTGTGTGTGTGTGTGTATACATTCATCTGTGTATACTCATATTACATATACATATATATTCATATATATTCATATTACATATATGCACATATACTTCATACAGACATGCATAGAAATTATATATAATATAAAAATAAATTAAGATGAATTTGTCTTTCATTCCAAATGTATACCTCACAGATTTTTTTTTCACTTTCTACCTTTGGAAAAAGATCTTAAATATAGGTTATTTTTTGATACCATCTTTATTTTTATTTTTTGTCTAGGATGCTGGAGAAATGGTTCGTTCCTTTGTTGGTGGTTTGGAACTTGTTGTCAATTTACTGAAATCGGATAACAAAGAAGTTTTGGCGAGCGTATGTGCTACTATTACCAATATAGCAAAAGATCAAGAAAACTTAGCTGTTATTACAGATCATGGGGTTGTTCCTTTATTGTCCAAGCTGGCAAATACAGTAAGTAGCCCATCTTTTTTATTTTTAATATTTATTGTCAGATTGTGAGTTTAAAGCCCAGAGACCTGAATTCATGGTTAATATCCACCACTTATGAAGTCTGAGATTTTCTTAACTCACTTAATTTTTCTGAAACCTAGATATGCAAAAGTATATTTCGAAATGATAAAATGTTAATATGCAGGCTCCTGTAGAATTGAGGCTGTTTTTTTTTTAAATAATTTTTTTAGTTGTTGTTGGACCTTTATTTAATTAATTAATTTACTTATATGTGGTGTGGAGAATCGAACCCAGTTCCTCACACAGGCCAGGTGCGTGCTCTACCACCAAGCCACAACTTCATCCTAAGAGACTGTTTTTTTATTTGTCACTGGCAAGTGAAGTGGTGGCAAATAGCAGTGCTACTATGTAAGTGTTACCTATTCACTGCCACTGTAATCATTTTTATTGTTCATGCTGACATTAGAAGTTGAGTGGCACCTCCTCCGCTTAGCAAGCTTGGATTGGTAGCATTCTTAAGCTAGAAGGTGTTGGCAACCACTGTATTGTTTACCTGAAGCTGTGCCAGATAGAATAGGCAGCCTTGAGGGACAATGACTTCATCTTAACCAGAGGTATTCAAGCATAGCCTGGACTGCCACTTGGCAGAAAAGTCGTAGAGCAGAAATTCAAGCACTGGAACAATACCTGCTATCAGATACTTTGAGTTCCTAAGAGAATCTGCTAGATTGTTAAGTTCACCAAGTTGTTGCCTGAGTCAGGAGAATAGTACAATTAAACAGAGACCATGTCCAATTCAGTTACATTTTACCTGTACAAGGTAATTACATTACAAAAAGGATCTAATCTGCACAAGGTATACAGAAAAAAAAAATGGAGGACCCCATATATGTTATCATATTTCCTACACTGTCTTCACCCCCTTGGGGCCCAAGGTGTGTTACCAAGATGTAGAAGTATTCCTAAGGTGAAGAAGAAGAATTAATCCATTTATCCCAGCTATGTGAGGTATTCCTTGAAGAATATCCAATTTTCTATAAAATCCAGTTTGTACAAAGAAAACTCAGAATTGAACCTTGGTCATTGGTGACCCACCACAATACTAGCTCCTTCGAAACACCCCCTAAGGAGCCAGCTACTGCATCCCTCTAAACTCATTTGCATCTTAGTGGCCATAAGCATAAAGTGCACACATGCGATCACACACAGTGATTACAATGCACATTTCTTAAGTTGGTTTTCTTTGTGCAGAATAATGATAAATTGAGGCGTCATCTGGCAGAGGCTGTCTCACGTTGCTGTATGTGGGGCAGAAACAGAGTGGCCTTTGGTGAGCACAGAGCAGTGGCTCCTTTGGTGCGCTACCTGAAATCGAATGACACCAATGTGCATCGAGCAACAGCCCAAGCCTTGTATCAGCTCTCAGAAGATGCAGATAACTGCATCACCATGCATGAGAATGGCGCAGTAAAGGTACAGTTCACTGACGTCACGGTTTAGTCCCAGTGTGGTAAAGGCGGGTTGGAAAGAAGCTGAAGGGACATGAAGCTTTTAGTAAAAGGAATGTGCTTCCTTTTTGGATCATAGCTGTATTTGAGCCATGTGTTAACATGGTTTTCTGCTGCAGAAAAGTTGTAGGAATACAGAATTCTTCTAAATCAAAGCATATAAATGTACTTCATAAAATAATTAATCATTCTATAATTTGAATTAAGTAAAATGTATAGGACATGAACAATCACTAGTATTCATAAATCTATTTGATATATTGTTTGTTTAGTATGTACATAAAATAATAATAGGCACATGCAGGGACAACAGCTGAACAGCAAAAGAAATGACTGAAACTGTTGTTAGAATAAAGCTTAAAAGTCTTTACCATAACAACAAGGATCAATTAAAAAATGGTGTTGTGTTTCAAATCTTTGCGTCAGACGTTTTTGCCTTTAACCAACATACAGTTAGAAGAATTTCTGCATGTAGCCTTTAGTGAATCTCCACATTGGAAACTACCTAGAATATTTTGATGGTAATAAATACAAAAATACTTAGAGTACCTGAACAGCTTACATGCATCAGGAAAAACTGATTAAAATATTAAAATATCAATAGCTTGTTTCCTTGTACAATATTGTTTTTACTGTTTATTACCTTAATTTGGCACCAACGACAACCAGACACATTCACACTTTGAAATGTATATCCTGATTTGATATTTTAGATAAGATTTTAAATTTCCAGTTATTCATATCTAGTCAAATCTAGATATGCTAAATGTGAAACATCTAAGATGAATAATGCTCTTCAAAATGCCAATTGGTAATTTTTTAGGCAATTATTTTAATTCATCCTTCAAACTTATTATATTTGAAAGATGTGATGTTAATTTTTCTGAAATGAAAACCAAATTACATTTAAATATATCATTCTTTCCATTATAAATCTGTTTCTATGACACATAAGTTAGGCTTATGTACTTCGTCAAGCAAAAATCTGGCATAAAAAGCACCTTTTAGACTAAGGAGCAATTTTAAAAAGTAAATTATAAAAAAAAATTGGAATGTTAACTTCTAGTTACTAAAGAATAATGAAAACATTGTCACTTCTATGCGACTATGTTCACACTTCAAAAAGAAGAGATTTCTAATTTAAAATTATACATTCTGTTATTGAACATGATTGGCACAGTCTAAGATGCAGTAAGCACACAGCCTTTACAAAAACAAAACTGCAAAAGTTATGCAGCCTGGTAAAGTGTCTGACACATAGCACATACGTAGAGAATTCCCAGTTTAAGAAGAGCATTTCTAGATGGCTCAGAAAGTTTTCAAATTTCATAAGGTTTGCATGGTTATTAGGCTGACCATTAGATGCCAGGCATCTGTGCCACTCTCAAGGAGTTCTTCTAATGCAAATCAACAGATAATCCAGAATCCCTTTTGTGTACAGTATTGTAACTGTGTTCACCCACACAGCTTATTTTATTAGGAAATGACGGAAATAAGAATGATGGAGGTGTGTAGACATTAAAGAGAGAGCAAAGAAGGTGCTTCTGCTGTGCAGAGAGCCTTTCCCAGGTCATCTTTGGTGATCATGGGGTCTGTCTCATCTATTTGCATTCCTAACTACTGTTATGTCTGTGGGAGGATAACTGTAAATAATAGGACTTTTTTTTTTTTTTTTTTTTTTGGCAAGTCCATCTGCAATGATACAGAGGCAAGCCTTGCTTTGGGGCATTGTCAGCACGAATGTATGTTGTGGAGGTGACCTGTCCCTTTTTTCTCAACCTGCTCCAAGCCCCAGATCTCACAGGGCTGTGTGGGAAGCCTATTGCTTCCCTTCTCTGGTTGTCTTTAAGGAGGAAAAAAAAATGTGAATGTGGTGTACTGGGATTGGTAGAATAAACAGGATTTGTTAGTTGCTTGGATATGGGTAATAAAAGAAAGAGAACAAATGACTCCAAACTTCAGGCTAAATGAAGAAGAATCCATTCTACAATAATGCAAGAAAAATGTTCTGCATATTAGGGTGATTCAGTTACCTACAGTGAATATGTCTCCAGTGTGCAATTGTTTTTCTGACTTTGAATGCATAATCGTTCACTCTTGGCAGATTCCAGGCTGTTTTTGTTCCTAATTGCTACTGCCCCTCTCTGGTCAAATGCTTACTGTGTTATTTTCCATTCCTGCAGACTTTTTTGCTGCAGCTGACATGACAAATGTTGACAGAATCTTCTGCAATTACCAGGCTCTGTTACCCGTCACCCTATTCATAAGTAATTCATTCTAGGGTTAGCGCCTGTGTCCTACAGTTTCCTCAACAGTAACAGCTGATGTTATGCAATCTCTCTCTCACGACTACTGATATTTTTGCTGTAGTAACAGTGAAGGTGCAGGCTTGAGCGGCCACAATACCATGAGTTCAGCTTCTCCTACGTTCAATTTGAATGGCCCATTTGAATTTAGGTGTAGAGCAGGGCTGTCCAGTAGAAATGCCATGTGAGCCACGTACATAATATTAAATTTTCTAGTAGTCATAATTTAGCAAAACATAAAAATAAATGGATAAAATTAGTGATATATTTTATTCAGCTCAATTTATCCAAAATATTATTATTTCAATGTGTGATCAATATAAAATTACTATTTTTTTATACTTTTTTTGGTACTAAGTCTTCAAAATCCAATTTGTGTTTTATAGTACATCTATTTTGGACTAGCCATGTTTCAAAATAATTAACTAGTAGTTAGTGGTTTTCTTACCAGACAATGCCAATTTAGAGACAAGGAGAACGGGGGACATTTGGAAACTATCTGCCAAGAAGTACAAAACCATGCGAGAGGGTGGGTAAGCTGTTTTTGGCAGAGTCTAGAGAAGCCTGGGAAATGTCTACGTTTTCACTTTGGGGGCACGTAAACTAGGAAGAAGAGCTGTCAAAGTAAACTTGAGAAGTTAACTAGTTAAGCAGGAGTTCTATAAGCCAAAGAAAGAGTGAGCTTCAAAGGTTGTGTTTAAACACTGTCGAGAGGTCAATAAAGATTTCCTGATTCAATTATGTTGAAAAACAATCCTGTGTCAGAGCCTTCCGAGGAAGAATCTCTTCTAAATGGACCAATAACTCCCCTGCTCTGCCCTGGTACATACAATATGATCAGAAAAATTCACTGTGTCCTCTGTGATTTTTACACAGAACTGATCAAAAGTATTAGCCCAGGAACTTGACTCGTTACAAAATCTGGTGAATGTGGATGCAGAGTTGTTGAAAACTGGTTTGAAAATGTGAAAAGACTAAGAGATACCTCAAAGTTATTTACTAATTGTTACAAACCTATAACTCAGGAGAGTAATATAAGGAGGAAAGGAAGTGGTAGGAAAAATTGAGCAAACACAAGCCTTTTCCTAAGGCAGAAAAAGTGATCAAATAGAGATGATGAGCACCCACGAAAGACATTAAGCTCCTTTCCCCATGGTGACATTGGATTTGTTTTTGCAAATGTCTATACCAGGCAGGTGAAAGCTACATTCTGGCTATAACTTTCTGAAAGGCAGGAAATTGAAAAGATTGCAGAAAATACTATCAGAAGTCTGCCCAGCACTGGCACAGAGAGAGTAGTGTGATTCCATATGGGTACAGTCAACAGGGCTGTCTTGGCCACATCCCAGGCTCAGTACATGTACTGGCCAGAGAGCCAGGAATAAGAATTCAGAACCCGCCCCATAGTTTTTGAAGGCTAACATAAGAAAACGAAAATATTATTAATGTCAGTGAGTCAAGTGAATGGATTTTAGAGACTGGGTCACCCAGGAATTTTCAGTGTCTATGTACTTAATGTTTTACCTAAATATACTTTCCATTAATGTAACTTTGAAGTTCTGAGCAGTTCTGAGTCCTTTTCGCACATTTCCTGTGTTCTCTGAAGTTCTGGGGATAGTCTGCTTGGTGATCCTAGGCTACTAAATAACTTAGGTAGACCTAAGAGGTGTCAGTGAATGGACACTGCTTACAGAGTAAGCACAGAGTTTTTCTGATTGGCTTTCTTCTCTTTATTTATATGTGTCCTTTAATTTTTTTTTTTTTACTTATTTATATGTCTCCTTAAAAGTGAGAAAGAAATTTATGGAGGTATCCAGTAAGTTAGATGATAGTTCACGGCAGTTAACTTTATATATATATATATCAAATGTTTTCCTTATTTCATTTTTTAAGAAGTCTTATTAGCTTTATTAAGGGATAATTGACATATACATGCACATATTTGAAGTGTACAGTTTGATAAGTTTTCACACACACACATACACACAAACCCACCATTACTGAATGAAGATAATGATCCCCTTATGTTTTTTGACACCCCTTTGGATTCCCCCTCTCTAGTCCCTCTTTGTTGTTGGGCAACCATTGATTTGCTTTCTTCATTTTGGATTAATGTGCAATTTCTGGAACTTAATATAAATGCATATATAAAGTATACACTCGGCTTTTTGTTTGATTTGCTCCACTGTTTAATTATTTTCATGCTCTTCCATGTTATTGTGCATATAATGCTTCACTCTTTCATTGCTGATTAAGTACTCCAATATATGGATGTATCACCATTTATTTATCCTTTCACTCAGAATATTCTTTAATCAGTGTAGGTCTGTTATTTATTTCTTCTTGAACCCCTTTGGTGCTTTGTGTCTTTCAAGGAATTAGTTCAGTTCATTAAAGTTGTTAAATATATCAGCATAAAAGTTGTTCATAATAATTCCTTATCCTTTTATTATATGTAGAAACCATAGTTATACTTTTTCATTACTAATATTTGTAAATTTAATCTTCCCTTTATTCCTAACCTAAGAGAAGACAGAATTTCTGGCTAGAACTTTATGAACCTCTAGCTGAACTAGATTTTGGTTTCATTAAATGTTCTCTATTGCTTTTCTGGTTTACATTTCATTGTTCCAATGTGATATTTGTTGGTTTTTCCTTC